ACACCTCTCATATTAATGACACATGCTTAGTGATACCATTAAAGAATGAGAAAATGATGAATTAGCCTTATCGTACTTAGATCCAAAAAGACCCCAACCATTAACCATTTAGTATCAAAATAAACATGACTGAACCAAATGGGATCGAAGATGACGATTCAAATAGAGAACTTCGCCGTATAATAATGGAACGATTCTTCAATGGAAGATTCAAAAGAAAAACAAAAATAGTGAGGGTTTGATGTCGACAATGGACATTTGAGAGAGAGAGAGATCGCTATAGGAATTAAAGTTAGATAAGAAACGCTGTCGTTTTCAATAATTTTAGAGATTATAAAAAACACATATGGGTCCCGAAACTCGATGGGTAAAATCCGAATAGAACAAAAATCTGAATATAATTATCCGATTTAGGCCCATATATTTTTAGTGGAAAACAATGGGGTTTTACCCGAAATATTACTTGTGGGTTGATGTTATCGGTGACGTGGTGAGATTCACGATGTTTGGATTGCGGAGATTGAGCTATAGATTTAGATCTCAAAATGGAGATATGAAATTATTTTTTTCGATAAAAAATAGTTTGCTAAAGTTGTTATTATTATGAATCTTCGACAACAAAATATCTTTTGGCTGAGATTTTAATCTTCATAAAACGGATCTAGAGAGAGTCATAGATTAGCGGAATTTGTTACGAAGAAAAGTAATGCGATAATTATTGAAAATAATTCTGTTGGGATATTTCCTTCTGATTAAATTTGGATTTTTGCTTTTGTTATGTTTAATTTTTTTCTTTCACATAATATTTTTTCTATTGACGAAACTAAGATCTGCCGTATGTGATTGGTTTCTCCTCCTTCAATGTCCTGCTCCTATCATACCTTGGAAAAGTAATGTTTTTCTTTACTTTTTCATCCCTTTATGGATGGAGCTATATTCATTAAGATAGTCGAACAAAGTATCTCTCGATAGGAGAAAGTCTTATATTGAATCATTGAAAAATGTGTAACAAATATTTGGTGGTTTTGTACTTGAATTTATTACTTCAAAAGTTTCAACGAAGTAATTTCTAGAAAAAACGATCAAATTTTGATGAATCTTGGAGATTGGGTTCATCAAAATTTCGATTACGACAAAACTTTACGGAGATGAATCTTCGGTGTTGCTGCTTCTTTTATTTTTTGTCAACCTTAAGCATTTTAAATGTGAATTATGTGCCGGTTTAGCATACCCTTTATCTTATTTAATGTGTAGTTTATATTGGATTTATTTATTGTAAGGAGTTGGGACTACGTATCTCTTCTTATTCATGTAATGGATTTCATCAATGAAAACCCTCTAAATAGAT